TTAAAATTTATTTAAAAAGAGTGCCAGACATTTAATAAAAAATAAACATTGATTTAAAATTTAAATTAGCAGAAAAGGTCCAACAATCAAATTCCTTAATCGAGGTTTCATGACAATTCATCGTGACAAGGCGTTACTTGACAATGACCTTCTTTTTGACATGCGACAGGTTATACTGTTTTACATGGTACTAACAAAAGGAATAATCCTTGACCTCATCAATTGCTGGTTTGGATTCATGCCTTTTATTTTAGAATTAGTGAACTTCAGCCAGAATTTGAACTCAGCTATAACTATTGATATATCAACCATAATGTCTCGCTTGTTGGTTTTCAGAAAAGATGCCCCTTTAATGTTACCTCATAACAAATTTGCCCTCATCTAGAAAGTACATAATATTTGGTAGATGTTTTTTCTTTGCGGTTGTGAGTGTTGGCGGGGAATTCATGAATGAAAATGAAGTGGTGTACTGTCTTAAAATGTTTTCCCCTATCCCCTGCCAGCCCAAGGCTACCTCCCCTTACCCGGAGTAATCAAGTGCACTTTATTTTTTTCTGCTTCCTGGTTTCATAACTGTTTCCTTCCTCTTTTATTTCACTTCCCTGTGACCTCTTGACCCAACATCTTTTGAGGATGAAGCTGGTTTATTCTGCACTTAGTGACAGGAATATTTCCACCTCAGCCTCATCATCATCGTCGTGGTGATTGCAAAAACTTCCATCATGGCACTATTCATATTTGTAACTGCGACAGACATCATCATTCTTATTCCAATCATTGTTAGTAATGATACCACTGACAAGTAATAATAATAATGATAATGATAATAATAATATCGAGAATTATGAAGTGAACATAATAAAAAATGGTGCCCACCAAATATGCAGAATATGTCTAAAAGAAGTTGCGACTACTGATCACTTAGTGTCTGTTCAATGTTGACTCCAAAGAATGCAACGCTCGACATTATAAGGCCGAGCGTTATAGTAAGACAAACGAGGTAAAAGGGTATGAGAACCGCCCTGATCCAGTTATAAAAATGTTTTTTAACTAATTATTATAAAAATGGTCTAGTACGACATAATGAACCAAGTTTCTTAGCAGCGGCAGGCCTAGCAATTAATTCAGTATAATCAATCCACTTCATGTCAGCTGAAGACGTTTGTCAGAGAAGGCGCAAAAAGTCACACACCTGTAGGTTAGCATCAGCCATATTAATATTATTGTATATAAATATTTAAAACGATTTCCTTCTGAAAGAATTGGTCACTAAATTGAGCGGCTCTGTTCCCATACAACGCTGGGTATCCTGATAATAAAATATATACAGCGTAAATAATAGTAATAATAATAATAATAATAATAATAGATCATTGTACCAAACATGACTTGATTCTTGTGGGTTTGCCAACGGAAAAATGAATTAAAAGATTTAATGGCTGCAGGTATGATGTCAGACATTACAATATGACATTAACGAAGCTTCAAGAACATTTTATTACAAACGACTTTAATTTCGACAAACATATTAAAGTGGACATTTTGAAATAATATTCAGAATCTACCAACCCTGCGATCCTTAAAACTCATGAGGATAGTGACGTATGCAAATTATTAACTTCCCACCCGCCACCGGAATAAACAGAATGACAGGAGATTTTCATAAGATTTATAATAAACTGTTTGATTAATATTCCTCTTAGTAACTAATCAACTAACTGAAAATTTCAAGATGAAAAAGATCACCATCATATTAAGCACTTTTCAGTTTCATGCCTTCACGGTGGTGGCGTTTCATTCGTTTTGACGCGTTAATTATCAGGTCAGCCGTTTTTGTTTTCAAAACAAGCGACATTTGTACAAAGAATTATAATTTTTTGTAGATTTTTCATATTTCTATACTTGTAAAAAAAAAAATATATAACCTACCTACTGTCGAAATATTGTTGAATATTGCTAAACACTGTCTTTTATTTTGTTTTTCTCTTCTTAAACCACACTCTTCTCTAACTGTTGAAAAATATTAGAAGATTTATGTCAATCATTTAGTTTAATAGTAAAAGTAATAATAATAAATTCCTGGATGCATCAGCAGAAAAATGACTTTGTGCTGAATTGTAGATATGATCTGTAAAATCGTCTCCATCGAAAAGAAACGCTCCATATTTGCTCCTACAGTTCCAGTTTTACTAATGGATGCCGTACCTTGAGGGCCTGCCTAGTCTTAAGCTCAACCTAGACCTCAAGTAGAGCTCGTGCATGCAATCCATAGCTAATGATGCGGGAAAATGATCGGTTCTTTGTATTGCTTTAGTAAGTACCTGACCCCTCTTGCTATCCTCTATATTTACAAGGGCCAGATCAGACCGAAAATGGTGTACACTGTTGCCATATTTGGGTAGGAGTTGCCCAGTCCTCACTTTCCAGTCTTGATAGAATTAAAAAAAAACATCTCTGCGTTCTTGTGGGTGACAAATTAGTTTTTATCCTACAACCCTTCCTCTTTCACAGACGAAACGTCACAAGCCTCTCACTGCCTTTTTCCCATTTCCATGAAAAGTGCTCAGCCGAACTATATTTCAGAGTTCCACCAGTTCTAACCTTTACGGCTAAGACCCGTCATACCAAGCCTATTGTAACGAACCATCCACATTCCCTTCGTATTCCATTAGTGAGATGTAAGTTGAACGCAAGCAGCTTCTTCCCGCGAACCGCTGATCCGTGGAACCGACCCCTAAGATGGTTTTCCCGATCATTATAATCCCAACCTGTTCAAGTCTAGAGTTAACGGTCATATTCCCCACATATCTGCATAAACTGTGCCTCTTACTCTGTAACCCTCTGCCTCGAGCGATCCTCGAGCCTTGTACAGAGTGAACATCACCGTAAAAAAACAAAAAACAAAAAAAAAACGGAGGGGTTGGTAATTAGACACTAAAAATTACTCTTTGGTAAGATGATACTACACACAACATCAGCAACAACAACAACAACAATTATAATAATAATAATAATTTGTTATAAATACACTCAACAGTTGCGCAGTATCGCCTCATCAGTGATGTTATGATTTGGGCTCAGGCCATGTTTCGGGTCTTTCAACATCATACCTGCCGAAACAATATCTATTCGGGCAGGCGATCCTGAAGCGAATTTCCACCAAGAACACAACAAAGGACATAAAAATAACTGCCACTGCTGATCTTGAAACAGCAAGCGACCAATCAGAAACGCCCTACGTCACTTCCTCCTCAGCCAAGACGAGACAAAATGAGTACAAACTGAATGCTCAACTTTTCCCTCTTAGGGTCCAACACACGGAAAGACCCACCCCAGACATAAAGAAGATTGCTAAGACAAAAGAGTAAAAAAAAAAAAAAAACACCTGGGAGCAAAATTCCTTACATGGCCAGTGTACATTCGGGAAGAAGGACACCGGTGTTCATAATATAAACAAAAGTGACTGAAGATAAAGAGCGAAAAGTGAAGACGGGGGCATTTCTAATGGCAGCACAGGACCAAAGTTTAGTAAACAGGGATTACCAGTCAAATAAATATCAGTTATGTGCCATACGTGATACACACTTAGGCGATCATTTATCTTTCAATACATGACTGACGTGACAGATTTTTTCCCATTGCCATTTCTTTCTGTGGTAGACCGGTTGCCATTCAAGGCTATAGAACCCAGTCTGTCCTGCTATTTACCCATAGCTGAGTGGAAAGAGAGAGAGAGAAGAAGAGGATTCATACCTTTCCCAAGGGTATTATTAGCACGTAAGTGAATGTCATGGATTCGACTGGATTTCAAATTCTGCTCTCCGATTCCTCAATCCGAGTCACTATAAAACTTAATGCAGATCATATGAACAGCATATCAAAACGATTGACGACACTTAATGTCTGGTTACCCAATCCTGACACCAAAGAATCACAAACATCGACATAAAACTGGACAGTATAAAAGATATGTCGATATTACTGTGTCTATCACATGTTGAAAAGTGTTATGAACATCACCCAGAAGCAGTCATAGAAAACCATCAAGTTACAATTCTTTGTTATTTTACCATGTATATAGACAATTATAATAAAGGCCATACATATTGATTAAAGATTGCAAACAAAAAATGTCTTCTCAAAGTTTTTTATCAGGTAAAAATATATGTAGTAAAGAAAATTACTAAATAAGTAATTTTTTTAAAGCATTTCACCCCGAGCAAGGCAGGAGTGCCACTAGCACGCAAGGGGGTTACAGAGAGTAGGAGCAGGAGTAAAGATGAGGAAAGGATATAGAGAAGGGCATGGAACAAGATAAAGGCATCAGAAGATGTTGATTGATATTACATTTGAAGATTTGAAGATTATAGCTATCAAAGAAGTAAGTAAGAGGAAGGGAGTTCCATTGTCGGGAAGAACGAGATAAGAAGCTGTTGGAGTAGAAAAGACGGCTATATTTAACCGTTTCAACAGTGAAAGTGTGGGGCCGGGATACCAAACAAGTAGCACGCTTAAATTCATGCAGTTTGGGTACCAGTGAAAGTAGCTCGTCAGAGCAGTTGCCATTAAAATATTTGTAGAAAAGACAGAGGGAAGCCACAGCACGTCTGTGAGAAAGTGACTGTAGACGAGATGCCAGATCAGGAGGAATTTAGAAATGGAAATTGAAAAAAAAATGTAATAAATCAAATTTACTATTATAACATAATAATTTCTGTTTCATCTTACTCGAGATAGGTTGGTTGTTTTTGTTTAGAGGTAATCACCTTTATTCAATGCCGAAGTGTCGATATTTTGTACGCAATTTTAGTTTTTATGGGATAATAATGGTTTAAGTATTACAAGTTTTAATAATTAACCCATAGCTGGGGGGAAGAGATAGATTCATGCATTTTCCAAGGGAATTTGCGTGTAAATGATTATAACGACCTCAACTAAAAACTGGAACTCAACTCTCTGATTAATAATTCCGAGCCATTATCCATTATACCACCTGTACACCCTGGTATTCCCACGCGTTCACCCATATAGGTACTGACGAAGCTCGATGTTGCTTAACTTCGGTAATCGTACGGAAACCGCTGTTTCAACGTGATATGGCCGTAAGCCGTCTTATCCAAGGCCAAGTAATTCCAGAAGAGACTTGCTGTCGCTCGATCTTCAGTAGTAGCCATTGTATATGATTGGTGTGAAAAATCAGTAATAAAGATATTATACGCAACAATTTCAAACTGGAGGCACAGTCAGTATTCTAAGTATGTGACCCCGTTTAACACAAGTAGGATTTATTGTGCAAATGTGATGAAAAAGTATAATTCCTTCTAATGATTCCATATCGAAAATGTCACAGAAAATCGTCGCCATAATACTGTAGCGTCGATTATATTTAAACGCAACCTACACAGGTAAGATTTTTTTTTATGCCATCTACTGACATTACCAATTCTCTGTAAGTCTTTTAACAAGTTCGAATCATTTTATGCCGTAATCAACAATAAGTAAAATATTCGTGGATGTATTTGCGAAAATGGTTTTTAATAACTGTTTATTTTTTGTTGTTGTTTTCTTTTTTTTCAAGTTGAACGCTCTAAAATTGTTTTCATTCTTGTTAAGGTCCTGGATTCTCGACTGGCTTTAGTATAGTCATTAAAATAGAAAAACTAAAACAGAAATTATATATATATTTGGGCAGTAACTATTCCTTCAATCATCTTTTATTGAAAACGGCCGACAAGGAAGACTTAATTAATTTTTTATTGAGTTTTTTCCAGCATTCTATCATTTTTTTCTTTTTTTATGTTAAAGACTATAAAAATTGTCCGTAGATTTTATTGTACCGAGCGCTTTCGGCTAGCTCTTTAGCCATTATCAAGAATGTTGTTTTTGCCATGTTGAATTTACGTGTGTTATCTTCAATATAGTAGTTTAGCTGTCTGGAGTTATTGCGGAGGAGTGTATGTTTTGGGGGTGGCCGATAGAATTTTTATATTCTGTACCCCCTAAAAAACGAAAAAAAAAAAAATCTTAGAATGCTGGAAAAACTCAATAAAAGATAAATTAAATCTTCCTCGTCGTCTGTTTTGAATGAAATACACAGACACACACACACACACACACACACACACACACACACATATATATATGATGGCATCTCCCTTCGTTTTCGACGTATGAGTGTCTTTCAGTTCACTTTTTATATTTATATTGTAATCACGATCCAATTCATCTGACCTACAAATTCAAAACGCTTTTTGAATTTGATGAATTGGATCGTGATTACAATTAAATAAATCATAACCATGGAATATTAGTGTTTAAGCTTATATATATATATTTTCATATACAGACTGACTGTTTCGCTGTATCACATCTCTTCAGTGTGGCTAGACGTCCGGTTGCCTCTAGCTAGGATCGAATCCCGACTGAATTGGCGTCAGTCGGAGATTCTACCACTACGCCGTCCTTTACAAAAATTGAGAATTTTTTTGTTGTAGGAGTTTATCAGTCAATGTGGCATGAACTAAATTGTTCAATAAATAGAGTAATGTCTCAGTTGTTATCCCGAAAATTTGCACGTCAGGTCAGTTCTTTTAAATCAAATATGTGGTGCAGTTCAATTTATATTACAATGAATCATTCATACAAAAAGTAAATTAGTAAAGTTAATGATATAAAATGGCGAAATCTTTTCGCAAACACAATTTTAAAGTTGCATTAACCTACAAATCACTCAATGAATGTTATGATCCTTGTTTTTTAAAATTATAAGCTGTATAAGGTCTTTTTTTAATACGCAAATACTTTCAACTGTACATCCAGTCATCCTCAGGCATGGAAATTGTGTGTGTGTGTGTGTGTGTGTGTGTGTGTGTGTGTGTGTGAGTGTGTGTGTGTGTAGATAGATAGATAGATAGATAGATAGAAAGATAGATAGATAGATAGGATAACGATATAAAATTTTTTATACATCAAGAATAGTTTTGGGTGAAAATATATGACAAAGTATAAAAAGTTTTCGTGTGACGCGTTTCGTTCCTGAGGTTTTATTTCGTTCGTGCGCATGCGTAGTCGCATCAACGTCAACATAAACTTAATCCGTTGAAGTCGGAAAAGACAAAACGCATAAGACATGAATGTATGCATGTATGTATGTAACAGTAAAGAAAATAATAATATTAATAATAATTATCATACTTAATATGATTTAGTCAAAAAGGCCGACTAATATACACAGAATATTATAAAGTTTATTGTCAATATTTTAATTTTTGTTGCATTCTCAAGCACACGTACACACGTACACACGCTCACACCCGCGGGCGCGCACACACACTCGCGCGCGCGCACACACACACAAACATACACACACACATATATATATATATATATCCTCAACGACACATAACACAGTGGATAAAGGCGTTAGTTAGATCCAGTGACAGGATCCAAAGAGTATGAGTTCAATACCTGGTTAAGGTGGTGGAGAACTTGGAGAGAGAATTAAGCAGGAGATAACTGATAACTGACATCCATTGGACATGGCACGTGGAACTAGATCAGTCTGCCCCAGTGAGCGAAATAAAGGGTTCAGTTCGACATTCCAACCACCTGAAGAAGGCCGGAGCGTACAAAAGCCGAAACGTTATGGCAACAAAGATGAGGACAATAGCCCGAATTTGTAGGTCTGATGGATTGGATCAGGATTACAATTCAATTGTAATAAATTAAAACCATGAAATATTAGTCTTATATATATATATATATATATATATTTATATAATGCAATGTAACTTTATACATTTATCGGTGACCTAATCTGTTATCAGAAGTTACTAATGTGATATTTCATTATCTTAATTCGACGCATGACTCATCGCCACTCAAGGCAAACCTGCCACGTATTACCATAATAGTAGGAACTATGCTTTATAGCAATTTGGGGGAAGAGGTTGCGCATAGATTAGTTTTGATTTCTTTTCTTTTTATCGTTGATTTCTTACATATCTTGACTTTTAATGATTTCAAAAGCATGACTGACTTAATAATCCTCCTTCCTTCAAAAGATTCGCTAAAAATAAGCATACCAAGATGAAAAAATCTCCCAAACTTAACAAAAACAAAGATTTATTGTCAAAATCTTTGTGTTATTAGGAAAGATCAGATTATTTTTTAGAACCTTTGAATTTTTTTTTTAATGAAAATTCCAGGACTTATACACAAATAAATTAAATTATCTGAGAAACGTTACATTTTATAAAATCTTGGTAAAAACATTTGTTTTTCATCTGTTATTTCCCACTTGTTTAATTTTATGAAATTTCAGGAAATACTTCATTTTGATTAATGTCTATATTAATTGTAAGTCCTTAGAAAATCCAATTCATCAAATTATTTTCATTCAACAAGACCCCAGTTACAAAAGATCTGCTCTGAATCGTAAAATGAAAAATGCAATAAAGCTAAGACATTATTTAATTAGAAAAAAGCTTCTAAGTGAATTAAATAAACTTTTAGGAATAAAATACATTATGGATGCAATTCAATGAATAATTCATTTTTACAAGAATTCTTTACATTTTTCAAATTTCAATTCAAATAATTTATAAACTTTTAAATCTTTTAAAATTTGATAATAATTAACAATTGATATGATATTAATTAACAAGTATTAGCAAGTGTTAATTACCACGTCCATACATGACATTATCAGAAAATAAGAGCAGGAACTTTAGGAAATTTAAAATTTATTGGTAATTTTCTAACATTTTCTCAACAAGCATCTTTGTAAGTAACGCTATATACCTCAAATTCAATAAAACATTTAAAATTAAGATTACTGGGTATATATATATATATATATATATATATATATATATATATATATATATATATATATATATATGTGTGTGTGTGTGAGAGAGAGTGTGTATGTGTGTGTGTGACGTTTACGTTGTATTCGTCATGTAATTCTATGTTCATTATCTCCTCCTTAGATAAGTTTCCCAAACATCAGGTAGTCGATAAATTTGTCAACACCTCATAAAAACACACACCTGCGTTTTAAAAAAATGTTTTTATGCAATATTTTAAACTAAAAGTAAGTAATATTTGTTTTGATTCAGTTTAATTAAACTTTACATTAGATTTTTTATTAAAGACAATTATAAGGTGTTGAAAGATTTGTCAGTGTGGAGGGTATTATCAATTTTATTGATAATTATGAGGTGTTGAAAGATTTGTCAGTGTGGAGGGTATTATCAATTTTACTGATAATCAAAAAAATACTTTCAGTTAATTTAAGTACAGTTTGAAATGCAGCAAAGTATTCGGCTTATTGGAAATATTAACCAAATTTATTACGAGTGCTGTAGCAATGTTTTAAAATGCATTTAACTAACATTTAACGATATGTTGGATTTTCACCATCTCTGGTTAACCTCCTTACATTGTGGACGCTTGTTTACAAAAAACACCATAGCGACAACGATTAATTTGAAAATAATTATAACAGAGCGCGTTCACTCGTGTTTACAAAAAATCACCATGACAACGATTGCATTAATTTTGCGTTCGTAATTCACCCCTGTGTATGATCTGGAAGGTGATCGAAAGTACTTGGGTCAACAAAATATACGGCGCCTTCCTTGATGAATTCCAACTTAACATCAAGAAGATAATTTGACAACTAGAAAGGATTATTATAAAAATAAATAGATATAATGTCTATACAAATCGGAGATACCAAAACCAACCAAGTACAAAAATTTAAATATCTGAGGAATGCTTTAACAGAGAACGGAAAGGGCGACACTGAAATCCGAAGGCACATTGTAGCCAAAGATGCATTCCCAAAGCTAACCGCAAAGAGCAGCAGAAATGTATTTCTACAGAAGGATGCTGAGGATACCATGGACCAAATATGCGAGCAACGACGAAGTTTTAGAGAAAATGGAAACAAATGGGTTCTTACACTTAACATTAGAAAGAGAGAGTTGAAATTTCTAGATTACATAATGAAGAAAGAGGGCTTTGGAAATCAGTTACTCGCAGGGCAGACTGAAGGCAAGAGAGACAGAGGAAAACAACACATAACTTACTTAGTAAAT